GTTCAGCAAAGGCAGTATGACGCAAAGTCTCCCTCCGGCGGTGATGATTCATTATGCCCTCGACTTCGGAGTTGGTGACCGAAACATCATCGGAGGACGCTCTGGCTTGTGCCGAAGACTTAGGACCAGAGATACGATTCGGCACACCGGGGGTATCTTCGGACTAGTGCAGAGGCATATGCCTTCTGTAAAAGGGAGCAAGCTTTAATAAAAGGGTGCTAAAAGCAACCCTCGCTATAATTCCGAAATACGTTACCTCTAGGCCGAGGAGGTAGGTGCTTCCATTTTGAAAGAGGATTTCTGCTTTGATCTCCCATTAGGGGATGAAACTGGCACAGTCCGTGCTCCTCCCGAGATGGTCTTACGCATAGTGCGGCGACCCTTTGGAGCAGAAGTCAGCACGTGGGGAATAGCGTGAGATGATCACCCTGTTCAGGAGAGGGTCTTCTTTTCACTTACTATGGAAGAGGGAAGAGTCCCGGGATGATCGGCTGTCACAGCAACCTTGACGTTGTCAAGGCCCTCCTGATAAAACACCCCTTCTTCAAAATCAATCAACGTTCTGGGTCGTCATGGTACCCCGGGTTGTCATCATGGGAATGATCCTCGAGCTGAGGAGGGGGGCAATTAATGGACGCAACCTGACGCCTCCAGCCCTGTTCAAATACAACCAGTCAGAGTTCGTGTGTAGCCCATGAGGTCAATACAGTGTATTTCGGCTTACCCAGTCCGCCCGATTGTATCCGGTGCAACCTTCCCAGATACTCATTCGAGAAAAATCTGCCTCCTCTCCCTTGAAGAGCTCGACCAATATTTTCGCCAGATACGCTTTATTGTCTCTTCCTTGTCGCTGGTAGCAGGTTATGTCATTGGTCCCGTTGTAGCACTATAAAGATGACCACTTTACTGTAGGGGTTGCCCACATTGGGTAATAGCGATGTCCATTACTTCGATCATGGTCAACTTACTACTAGTTAGCAGCCTGATCTTGGCCACCAGCGCATGCACCTCTTCACTGGCCTGTTGGGAAGGGCCTCTGGGCCGCCAGTTGAACCGTTTTATAGGCGGGTCGTTTGAGTACGGGTAACCCTTGCCGAATTGGATCGGTGAGAGGAAGTTCTTCAATATAAAACGACTCTAAAGTCCATCCTTTGGGATCTTTCTGTGGGGTCCCAATTGGGTAGCCTATCCCAGCTATTCGCCATAGTTCGGCGTCGCCCACTCCGAATATGGATCCCTCTCGGAGGCAGGGGAAAAGACAAAAAAACTTCCGCCACAAGTCAAAGTGGGCCTCGCAAGTCAAAAATTTCTCGCACATGGCCACAAAGCCAGAGATGTGTAATATGGACCCTGGGTGAAGTTGTGGAGCTGTATCCCGTAGAACTCCAACAAACCCTGTAAAAGGGATGGATAGGAAAGCCCAAACCTCTTAGAAGGAAGGGCACGGGGCATATCCTCTGCTCCCTACTCGAAGCGGAGGAGTTCTCGGCAAAGGCGCAGACATCGATGGAGATGAGACTGGCACAGACAGGAACCAAATCTGCTAGAGGGAGGAAACACTGCCCCAAGCGCTTCGGATGAAGGTGTGAAATTGAACAGCTCGACCAATCACCTGGGAGTGGGCCGCGCGGGTGACAGGATGAACCTGGGAGGTCAGCCATGGCGCTGAGGAATTTATTCGGTGATGTTCCTTGTGTGAGGGGGGAAGTCAATTGTCCCCCGCACCTTTGGATCTATAAATGGGCATCTTAACTTGAAGCTGGAAGGACGGGGTCGTAGAAAGTAGGCATTGGGCCGCATGCACTTCTAAAAGTATGCATGATGTTCTTGCCCCGAGGAATGGCATTAAACTGATGGTCCCACCTTGTCCGAGCCTGAGTACATTAGTCCAGGTTCCGGGTAGGGTTCGGCGAGATTGACATGGCTCCAAACTGAATAGAAGAGTGGAAGAACTCAACTTGCAAGCCAATGATCTGAATATTCTAGACAACAATCCCCGGTGTTGGAGGCTAGTTCGGGGGCTATTGAGGGAGTTACAGACTAAGGGGTCCTCAAGGCGCCGACCGATCAATATGGGTCGGACTGGTGAAGGCGTACAACAACGGGAGATTTATGAAGCCGTGGTGTGCCCTCCAAGTCTAGGATAGGCAGGATCTCTTTATCCCTTATTGTAATCCATCTCCGATAACCCTAACCCTATCGGGGTCTATATAAACTGAGGGTTGTAGTCTTTAGGGCCAGAGACATATTCATTACCTCATCGCCTTAGGGTTTAGTTCATGCTGATCTCGAGGTAGACCTACCCTGTAAACCATACTACACATCCAATATAATCAATCAGGGTGTAGGGTATTACCTCTTCAAGAGGGCTCGAACCTGGGTAAACACTATGTTCGTCATCCCCTGTTCCCCATTGATCCAAGATCCACAGCTCGGGACCCCCTACCCTGAGGTCTGCTAGTTTTGACACCGACACCAGAATTCCCAATATCTTCCATGCTATACAAATTATAGGCGGTTCCCAAACTGAAAATAAAGTTTATTTCCTTTCCACCATTCTTACCCAATCCATGGCTAGCCGTATCCATGGGTGCCATACATACCAACAATTTCCAAGGAATTTATTATTTAACATCATATTAATTATTTTTTCATTTCTGGACTGGGCATCCATTTTACCTGCCACGCTCTCGTGCAATGACAAGTGAATAAACACTCATCGTGAGAATAAAATACCTAGCCTGGAAAATATTGGACACCCCCTGTCGCTTCATGAGCGGTACGCGCACACAAAATGGAAATTTATTTTGAATAAATAGAGTTGGCACATGCAAATTTACTTGAAACGACATTGAAACGCCTCATATATGTAGGTATGGTGGACTCATTTGGCACAACTTTGGGTTTAAGTAATTGAATGCACAAGCAGCATTCCCACTTAGTACAAACGAAGGCTAGCAAAATGATTGAGAAGTGACCAACCAAAAAATGAAAATGGTCATAAACATGCATTGAACATAAGTAACACTGAATAGTGCACCACAAGTAGGATGTAACTTCGTTGCATAACTATTGACTTTACGTGCTTGCATAGAGAATCATAAACCTTAACACCAATATTGTTACTAAAGCAGAATTACTCACTAATATGACTCACATATTGTCATCTCCATATCACACAACTATTGCAAGGAATCAAACTTATCATATCCAATGATCTACATGAAAGCTTTTATTATATCCTTCTTGAATATCCATCATACTAGAACCAATTTCATAGATTGTACAAATTGTCATCAGTATTATCAACTCTCAAAATAATAACTTAAAACAAAAAAGAGGCTAGCCAACTCACCTCCAGGAGGCTCCCCCGATTGGAGCTTCGTCAGCCGTCCGATCTGTCTTTGTGGCGCGCCTAAGCCGTTGGATCTTCACTTATGGTTAAATTATTTTCACCCCACGGTTTATTTTTCTGTCCAATAACTGGTGGGCTCGTCTTGTGTCTGTATTGGCTAGATAAGCGGCGCCCGGGTGAGAGAGAATTTGTCCCATCCATGCGCCGCGCCCGCACCCAACACAACCCAATCCCCTCGTCCCGCACGCCGTGCACACTCCGGTCCCCTCATCCCGCATGAACCCTAGGAGAGAGAGATAGGAAGATGAGAGGGAGAGAAAGGGGAGAGGAGAGGAGAGGGAGGTCCGGCAGCGGACGGGAGAGGGTGACCGGCCGGCGTCGGCCTACACTGGCGAGGCGTTGGCCTGCGCCCCTCGCCGCGCCCGGCACACCTCCCTCCTCCACTCCCCCCGCACCCGACCCCTTCGCCCCCGAGCTTGTTTCTCCAGCTACCGCACCGGAGCGGCATGGCGCTCACGCGACCATCGACGGGCTATGAAGGAGGAGGAGACATGGCATGGAGGTGGTGGCCACTTGGTAGCCTTCGTCTGCAGCGCCATACCACTGTCGGGGTGCCGCGCAAGAGGTCAGGTCCGTCGCCACCGCGAGCCAGGGGACGCTCGTTGGTGATCCTACGTGCAGGAAGCCAACGGGGGGCACGGCATCAACAAGCCGACAGGAGGCGGGGTCTTCCCACTGGGATGGAGGAGCAGGCGATGGCCAGGAGGCCGCCGGTGGGGGAGCAACGAGGCCCGAGCTCTAGGCTCCGCACACATTGCAGGATGGAGAAGAGGCCGACATGGGGCGCAAGGAGCAGCAGGGGAAGAATGGTGGGGCTTTCATCTCCTCTCTCATCCCGACTCCTGCAACCTCGCCACTGGTGCTCACTCGGCCGATGTATGGGTGGCGGCCGGGAGTTTGGCCCTCGGCACGAATTCGACCCCCGAGTCTAGCTGACGAGCCCCGTGGTTGGTTTGTCCTCCTACCTCCAGATCCCCTCTTACTCATTCTCCTCCTCTCCCCATATTTTGCTCTGTTGTTTGTGTTCCTTCAATTTGCAGGGATTGTGGGAAGCAAATGCACGTGGGTGAGTTATTTCTTTTGTGTGGAAGTCTCTTCCATGCTGGTCTATCGATTCCTTGACGCTCTGTTCATGACTGATTCTGTTCTTGTTTTATCTTTTTTACCTTTGCAGGGAGTTGTTCTACTCTCTCCCTCGAGGTAAGTTTGCTGGGCAGTGGCTTGCTCCTCTCGTGTTTTGTTAGTTTTACCGAGGTGTATGGTGTACCTGGACGAACAAGGAACGTCCCAGCCACTGGTACCCTACTTTATTTTGTGAAATTTTTGGTCTTTGTTTTGATTTGGTTGTGTGGCTGTCCTTGCGATCCAGGTGGGTTGAGTTGCGGTTTAGGTGGAGATGTTGGTGCTGTTTGAGACGCCCACTAGGTTCGCCGTTTTCAAGGTTCTGAACAAGGGCAAGCTCGACAAGATCAAGGTGAGTCCTCACCGCTGCCTGAGCTCTTGGTTTGGTTTGGATTACTCACATTGATCTCTGCCTGTTTCCTGGACCGACAGAGCTTTGTCTTCATCTTTGTCTGTAGGATCTATGGAAGGAGTTCACCAGATCGGACTCGGCGAGAAAGGTTTGTGCTTCATTTTTTATTCTTTCAACGGCAAAATAACTTCTCTTTTCAAAACACTTAGCACATGATCTATCTATCACACTATAATAGAGGAAGTCAGCAAAAGTCGTTTATTTGAATGACTAAGAATCCATGGTGTGCTCCTGAGCTATATGTCCCTTTTCCAAATGTTAGAAAGGTTATCTAAAATTAGTTGTCGCATAGAAGTTGGTTTGGGAAACTAGGCTCATTTGATGTTTGCATGACTTCTTTGAACCGGAAGGAACACTCTACAACTGAACTCACTTAAGCAGGCTGATAGATGGCAAGTGACATCCATGATTGCACTTACTTTTTGTGAGCCTATTTGCTCAAAATAATAAGAGGCTGAATGGTTCAGTTAGACACTGTGCTTGTTCTTGGTGATATCCACTAATTTTTGTTAGGGATATATAAAGTTCTTGATAAGCTGTTGAGAGAATTCATATGCCTCTCAGTCCTATTTCTTATATTATGATACTTTTTTTAACTGACTCAATGTAACTCACACAATATAACATCAAGCAAATAGGCTCAATGTTCAGCTCCAAGGAATAAGCAGGCCAGCGGACACGCATCCGCTGACATCCTTATTTCTGGTGCAAGCTTGATGGATGTGACAATGCACATCACAAATGGTTCATTCCGTGTAACCATATGTGATGCAAGTCACCTCACACTCCAGTGGCTCGAGCGTATCTCATCGCACACGATCATGTTTTGGCAATTATTGCACACACTTACCAGCTAACCTTGTGTGATGAGGGGTGTTAATAGTCTTGCTCTGTAGTAGTGTGAAGATCTGGAGGACGCAGGCCATGGCCTCCAGTCTGCTGGTCCAAGATCTGTCTCCTTTTTTTCATGTGTCTGCCTTTTTTTATTTTGAAAGTCGTGTGTGTTTTAATCTGAAAGTTGTGAGAATTTTTCTATAATTTGCAAGAAATTTTTTGGAAGTTGTGAGAATTTTCTAAAAGGTTTGCAAAGATTTCTGAAGTTGTGTCCAAATTGATGGAAGTTGTGAGAATTTTCTGAATGTTTCATCATACACATTACAATCAATTATCCATTTCGTTCAGCATGGTGGCCAAGATGCGGCAGCCCCATGCTCTGTTCCGATGGGCCTCCTCTCTGGTTCGCATGTTCTTCGCCGCTGCTTTGGATTAATTTGTCATGCTAATTTCGCATGTTTGCCTTTGTTTCATTCATCCGCAGTTTGGTACGGTTTCCTGTTGTTGCTTGTGTCGAGCCATGGGTCCGTCTCTCCTTCGCACTGAGGTTGGTCCACTCCTCTTGTGCTTGCCTATAAAATGTTTGATGAAATGCGTGTGTGCTGCTCGATAAAATGCGTGTGTGCTGACGCATGTTCTATGGTTCAGCCTACTTCTCCTGTCGCTGGCGCTTCTTCTTCTCGTCCGTCCTGCTTCTTACCAAAGTGCTTATGCTTGCTGCCTTGGGTAAATAGGCCGTTCTGTTGCTTCTATGACCGTCGAGTGTTCATTGCATGCCTGTGTGTCGTTGTGCTCTGACCGCTTGTTTTTTGTGTATTTCGCAGGTTGTACGATTTCTTCTGTCACTGTCGTTCGACTCATCAAGGTTTCTTCTTTTCTTTCTACTACATGTGTGCGTGTTTTACTTTCAGTATCTTCTATGTCATGCTGTCTGCCTTGGTGATCTTTTAAATATCTGTATTTCGTGATGATCGTTTAAATGTTCTGGATATGATCGGGCGTTGTGTGTTGTTCGTTCTCGTGCTACTTATATTTCGTGTATGCGTGTGAACAGGATGTGTATGCTTGTTTCCGGTGTTATACCTGTTTTGGAGGCTGTGGGTAGCTCGATGCGCTTTGCCGTCCCTTTCATATCTGTGTGTAGTCGCAGAGGATGGCTCTGTTCTTGCTGGTGTAAACTCGAGCTCCCAGTGGGACAGATATGGTCCTATGGAGAAGCTTGATGAACAAGCCGAGGTGCAGCTACTTTCAACCCCTCATGCTATATACCCATATACACACATGTCTCCCACTTGATTGGTTTTGTCTCACGCACAAGGTGAGCTCTTGTGGTAAAGCTGAAACTTCATCACCTACTGTTGAAGAAAAGGATGATGACAATGACCAGGCTCAAGTGACCAGAAACAAAAGGTGCTACTTTTTATGTTGTCCATCTACCTACGCAGCCACCTAAGTTACTTCCCGTGGCAACAAGACCAAATAAACACGAAAATAAAAAGAGTTCTTTGGTGTACACTCATGCTACTCTGAATAATTGCTGCAGAATGAAGTGGCAAGCATAGAAGAAATGCAGAGCCAGTTTTCCTCGGATGCAGTGTATTACACTGAGTCTGAGGATACACAACAGTCTATTGAGGTTGGTTATTGCAATTAAAAGGTTTTTACTATAGATCTTACTTCTTTAGGCTTGTCTTCTCTTACTGCATGCTCTTAGTTACAAGTTATGTTGGTTAATATTGATCATTTCGTGAATTAGATCCAGTAACAACAAACAAAATTAGTTCTTGTTGCTATGACCTGGGCAATGAACATCAAATGCAGTTTGCCTCATTTCTAATGTTCCCTGTAAACACTGTTGTGAATGGAACATCTTGAATTGATCACTGCTTAATATGCACTGGAATTCCTTTTTTTAGATATAATTTCCTACAATACATTTGTTGCTTCACAGAATTTCGATGGTTGCCTTTAGTAATGTGGACTATTTATTGTGGGCGTCTTTCCTATGCCAATTTTCTTTTCTATAGCATCCTAGCAGGCATGGTTTACCCATAGGTTTCTGTTATTCTTATGTTTTGGGTGTCAAATAAATTGATGTCATTTTAGGCTATGCCTTACATTCTTTTCATACTCTGCAAATTAATACCATCCATTTAAAACCACAGGCTACTCCACCATCGGTGAAAATCCCCAACAGAATGATGCTGGATGTCCTTTTAGAATCTTTGGGCCTGCCATTGGCTGAGTATCAAACCAAAGTATGCCAGGATGGTTTGAAGTTACAAAGAATCCCATTTTTGTTCAGATATGCATGCCTTTCTGTCATCTAGAATCTTTGCATTTAGGTTTATGTTATTGATTCAGGTTTAGCTGTTTAGATCAAAACTGTAATCTTGCGTGTAGATTGGACAGATTATTTCTCACTTTGAGGACTCCGTTTTGTTCATCGGAAAGTTTTTTCCCAGTGTTGTTCTTCCAAAAATGAATTGAAATTACTAAGATTCATGCAAGTTACTTGGCAAAGAAAATTGTTGTCTGCATAGTCGATACATGTACTGATCATAGATTCAGATGTAGGCTTGGTTTCTGTTATCCGAAAACACACATTATATTACCTTTGTTTTTACATAAAGATGTAGATGTTGAGAAGTACATTATTTTGATTGTTGAGTCGGTCTATGGTGTAACTTTGGGTTTTTTCTTTTGTGGATACATTTGTAAAGAAGTGACATCGCTTAAAAACCCATATTAAATGTTGTGAAAAAAAACCATATTAAATGGTGTCCTTGAATAGGGAATAAAAGTGGGAGCAGATTGACTCTTTTTAGTGCTCGTTCAGATGTAGGTCAGGTGTTCTGTTATCCAAAAAAACACATTATACTGCCTTTGTTTTTACATCGAGGTGTAAATGTTGAGAAGTATATTATTCTTATTATTTTTACCGTATGTGCATGCTCATAACTAAAACAACTAATTCATATATTTTTTTTAAAATGCGCACATGGATTCAAAAATATCCATGTAATTCCAGCGGCATGATTTTGAATGGGACTTTGTACTACCAAATTATAATGTGTATATACATCTCATTACAGACAATATAATACTGTTGTTTCATACTAAAAGGGATTAGATTTGTTACATAGATTTTGTTTCAAATAGAACTCTATGCTATCAAGTTTAAATGTGTATATACATCTATTGTAGACAACAAGCCCCTGTTTTTCCCAACTAAGAGAGATAAATTTGTTGTCATACGTGCTTGCCCGTAACAAAATCAACTAAACTATGGGTTTCTTTTCATTGCTAACATGGAATCAGCAGGTCTTGGCGCTATTTGGCGCAACGGTTTCACAGGGTGATAACCATATTTTAGCATTCTATTATAAATATCTAATAGGTTCTTGCAAAATGAAATTATTTTCATCGACAACATGGCTTTAGCGGGTCTCTGCGCCATTTGGCGCAATGGGTCAACTAGTATAAGTAAAGCATGAGCGTATTCGACAAACTACTAGAAAAAGATATAAGTGAAGATCAAATGAGTAGTTAAATAAATAGGTAGCTATGTGAGGACTTTATCTCATTTAAAAATTTCATATCTATAAATATTTTATTCAAATAGCAATAAAAAAAGAATACACCAAGGATGGCACACACTGTGTGAAGAATCAAAAGCTTAGGCTCAACCAAGACTAACCGATAATTGTTGATGAAGAAAGGTACTTGGATACCTACGAGGGCATCCCCAAGCTTAGATACTTAAGACTTCTTGGAATATTCTCTTGGGATGCCTTGGTCTCTTGTGTCTCCTTAACTCCTCTCATATCATGGTTTCCTTAAATCTTAAGAACTTCATCCACACAAAACTCAACAAGAACTTGTAAGCTATGTTAGTATAAATCAATGCCTACTGTAACAAATCACTAAAATTATAATTTAACATTTCATATAGAATACTGCTGCATATTTAATAATCCTATGCTCAAATAGAATCACTAAACAAGCAAACATAGGCAAACAATGCAATCATAAACATCAATCTGTCAAAACAGGACAGTCTGTAAAGGATGAAGTAAGATCCATACCTATTTGACTTAAAAAAATGAGAAAATTTACCACACTGTAGAAAATTTATCATAGCTTATTGTGTCAAAATTTCAAGCTTTTATCACATTCTAACTTTTGTACAGACTTCACGCAAGAAAGGAAAACTTCCTGTCTTGAAATAGCAACAAATATACTTGCAAATTGAGCATGGGAAAGGCCATCTTTACACTTCTATTGAAATAAAAGATACAAAAAATTATTCTAAATAACATCAAGCAAATTTGAAAAAAAGAAAATGACGCTCCAAGCAAAACACATATCATGTGACGAATAAAAGTATAACTCCAAGGTAGGTTACCGATAATGTTGAAGATGAAAGAGGGGATGCCTTCCGGGGAATCCCCAAGCTTATTTTCTTGGGTATTCCTTGAATATTACCTTCGGGTGCCTTGGGCATCTCCAAGCTTAGGGTCTTGTCACTCGTTATTCTCCTCATATCGATATCTTGCCAAAAACTTGAAAACTTCAATCACACAAAACTTAACGGAACTTTGTGAGATGGTAAGTATAACTAAGAGCAAATCATTCACTTTGGACTGTCATAACAAGATTCATAATTGTTCTCACACAATTCCTACTGCAATCTATCATTTCCACAATTTATATTGACCATTACACTACTGGAATCAGCAGATTAGCCGTCTGCCCCCTCTGTGTAGTCCGCTAGCGGACGACAAAGAATGGCTATGCCATTAGCCAACAGAAAGCAGACGACAAAGAGGCAGCGGACGGCAAAGGAAGGATTTGCCATCAACGAACTTTTTGTTGTCTACTAGGAGACGGCAAAAAGGGGATTTGCCCCACTGTCTGTCAAACCCTAACGCCCCCCCCCCCTCTTTGTCGTCTGCTAGCAGACGACAAAGGCGAGGCGGACGACAAAGCTTCAAAATAACTTAGCGTCCACGCCCCCGCTATCGCCCTGTCTCTCTCTCTCTTTCTCCTCTCTTTCCTCCCTTCCACCCCACGCTGTCGATACCGCACCCGTCGCCGCCCCGTCACCGCCCCCTTCCTGCCCCATCATCGCCCCTTCCCGCCC